GGAAAATATCTGTTCGGAAGACGATTTGAGATCTACAATTCTCAGGAACATTTGTTGTAAAATTTCTTGCTCGCCTGTCTCTCCTAGGATTTTCGAACATCTAAAAAATGGTAGAACGGATTTTTATCCTACGAAGGTCACCTAGAATTTTCGGGAGCCTTTTTCCTGGCTGAAGTTTTCAAAGAAATGTAAGTTTTGATCCCTATAATTTTCGGATCACTAGACTTTCAGCTAGGAAATCCAAACAGATGAAAAATTTTTAGGGAATAAAAGTATGCCTATATCTACCGTTCAAATACCAGAAATACTAAAATAAGTTTAACAATGCCATGTTTAAGTGGTTTTGAACTATATTCTCGTTGGGTGCCCCTGACCTTTTTACCAACCGTAGTCAGGACCATAAATGGGGAGCAAATGTTAAGCAAGTCACGTCTTTCTATCACACTCTTCAATCTCAATGAATTAAGGAATTTATACCTACGTTTAATACTTGAAATCATATAGCATGTGCAAGCTTTCTTTCACTAGCTTAATTTGTTGATAGAGACAATATCCAAGGCTTAACGTATTCAGGACCTATCAAAAAACATCGAATGGCAATGGCGAAAGTCAGATCACAAAACAATATTTTTTTTCTCTCACAGAAGGTCACATTTCTTGCGACAGAAACAGGTATTGTTCATTCGCTGCCTGTTTATTCCGTTGGCAGTTTTAGCAACACATCCCGGGGGGTACTACTGTGAATTCTTGGTGGGGGTGTGCCCCCCCGTTCTCCAAATCCTGACCCTATTTCAGACCAAAAAATGTAGTTCCACACCCGTTTTCAGACCTGGTCTTTAGGCAGAAATTAAGTCATCATTACTTACATTAGAGCGCAAAAACAAACTGAAAATTCTTCAAATCCATTTCTTCGAATTCCCATATTTTTCTTTCTTTCTTAGCACTCATCTGGAATTGAAACGATAAAGACGTTCATACAATCCCGTAGTTCCCTCAAAAAACATACTCGATTCCAGACCATGAAGAGGGTTTTTTCATTTGTGAATTATAACAATGTTTACGGTCGGTGAATCACCACCCAATATCCCAGGCAAATACAAGAGAACAGCAAACTCAACAACAGTGGATTCAACAAGTGCCAGTCCTCGCTGGGAAAGATTTACAAACAAAACTCCGCAAGGCCGAGAAAGTCGACTTTAAATTCAGGGCGAGCAACGGCACAGCGAAGGCAAACGCTGTCAACTAAAGACAGAGGATATGAAGGGGCAGCAACCAAATAGAACAATTACACTGCAAACAAAGCCGACGAAGACCGACTGCCGACGTTTCAGCAAAATGCCGTCAACAGAATTTGCAACGAAACCGTGGAGGAATCATCGAGAGGCAAGCTTACCGTCAAAATTATCTTCTTCGATGCAACGATAGGCAGCAAGAATTACACCATCTGTAAAATCGACATGAGGATTATCTTTCTGACGGACTGAGGACAGCCAATCAGCCTTCTCACCGTTTTACAGGAAGCTTTATTTTACAATGAACAGTTTAAAATTGCGGCATACGGAGCTCACTGTGGTGATTTGCTCAAGTGACCATCAAACAGTAGCTTCCCAGTGCGCAGCTGCCTAACTTCATTGAATCAGATCAGTATGGTGTTGGATTTTAAATTGCCGTGAGTCACGGGACCATAATGTAATGACTGTTGTCGACTCAGTGCAGAGAAAGTTCAACCTTATTTTCCTGAGCACACAAAAATAGGCAAAAGTAAATGCTAATAAAGTAAAAAACGCAACAAATGCAAGACTGCCAGATCTGATACCTTTCCAAAACCTGTTTCCCTTATGTAGTTCATTTATATTACTTCATGCTCTACTTCCCACCGAGAGAGATTGAGGAACAGATCTAATCCTATATGCACTTGTAATCTACTAGAATAATTGAATACATAATGCGAAGCAAAGTCTTAAGCCCAGTTAACATTTCTTAGCAAGGGTCAATTTCGTGTTCTTAAGAAGTGCCACGGGAAATTTGACTGCCTCGTTTACGAAATGCTATTCATCAAACTGAACTGAGGGCTGGCCTTTTAACGCTCAGAGTGACTCCATGAGTGCGAAACTCTTTGTTTAACTTGTAACATATTTGTATATGTTACTTTTCTTTTTAATGAACTATTGTTCTTCTTTTATTTATAGAACATTCATACTGTATTTTTTTTAATTGATAATGACGTCCTAGAACGTCGAAACGTACATTTTTTAACTTTCTAAAAACTCTTAAATGTTGTTAAGAACAGTTTTTTTGCAATTTTTTTACAGCTAAATGTTTTAAAAAGTCTCTTCTTTTTAATCTATTATAGACGCCGAGAAGGCACTGCTAATGTTTTCAATGCGCTACTACATCATATCAGGAACTCCACAGAATTTTGTTATTTCAAGAGTCAGTTGACAATTCACCTTTAAACTAAGGCGAAGGGCAAGGCTGGATTCTTAGTGACTTTTTCATAAGTATTTTTTTTCACTAGTTTTTCTTGAATTTTGGAACTTATCGTTTTATTATCATTTCACTCTTCATAGTCTTGTAGTAATGATAATTTATAACCAATTGATGAGTAGATTAGTACTAGGTTAGAAGAGCTATATTTTTTGTTTATCGATGTAAATACTGTGAATAAACATAATAATGATAAACCATTATAATTATAATAATAATAATTATTATTATTATTATAATAATAATAATAATTATTATTATTATTATTATTATTATTATTATTATTATTATTATTATTATTTNTGAGTGCGAAACTCTTTGTTTAACTTGTAACATATTTGTATATGTTACTTTTCTTTTTAATGAACTATTGTTCTTCTTTTATTTATAGAACATTCATACTGTATTTTTTTTAATTGATAATGACGTCCTAGAACGTCGAAACGTACATTTTTTAACTTTCTAAAAACTCTTAAATGTTGTTAAGAACAGTTTTTTTGCAATTTTTTTACAGCTAAATGTTTTAAAAAGTCTCTTCTTTTTAATCTATTATAGACGCCGAGAAGGCACTGCTAATGTTTTCAATGCGCTACTACATCATATCAGGAACTCCACAGAATTTTGTTATTTCAAGAGTCAGTTGACAATTCACCTTTAAACTAAGGCGAAGGGCAAGGCTGGATTCTTAGTGACTTTTTCATAAGTATTTTTTTTCACTAGTTTTTCTTGAATTTTGGAACTTATCGTTTTATTATCATTTCACTCTTCATAGTCTTGTAGTAATGATAATTTATAACCAATTGATGAGTAGATTAGTACTAGGTTAGAAGAGCTATATTTTTTGTTTATCGATGTAAATACTGTGAATAAACATAATAATGATAAACCATTATAATTATAATAATAATAATTATTATTATTATTATAATAATAATAATAATTATTATTATTATTATTATTATTATTATTATTATTATTATTATTATTATTTTGCTTCCCTCTCAATCAAAGAAGGTGGATTGAAGACTTTTAGACGAAAAAGCGAGATCCTAGAATTACCGGGTAACGGCGAAATGCGAGCAAACTATACTCTGTAGTCACGACCTGCACGAAACAACTCAACAACACAACGTAGCAGCAGGACTACACTCGAAAAATGAACAGTCACATGCTTGGTAATGACTATACGCAGTACCGAACATGTTTACTAATGGTAGAAATCCGTAGTCGTCGAAACTTAAAGTCTCTGATCCTACAGCTCCGCCTGCTCCGACTCCATGGCAAGTGAATTCCATCTTACGGCAATCATATAAGCATTAAAAAGGAGGAGCAATAGGCATTAAAAATCATCTAAAAATAAACAGCGTTCTCTTGTTCAAAGATTTAAAATCAGTGGCTTTTGGCTTCCATCGTAAAGCATTTGAAAGAACATAGGTTATCGGTTCATAAAGATAAGAGTAACATTTTTAACAGTCAGTGATAATTACTCCATGTTATGCTTGTTTTGGCTTTTGCTTGCACAATCCTGGCTAGATCCTAATACATCAGCAAAACAACAACAAATGAAACCAGAAAAACTTTTCCCGTGGCAACATTAACAATAGCATTAGCACCGCCGATCACTTTGTCTTTAATGATATCAAACTTCAGCTGCATCAGTTTAGGGTAATAATCATTCCAGAAAGACATTCGGCGAGGATGAAATGACGCCTCCATCCGAGGTTTTACGCCAACTCGCATGTACTGGATCTGTGACTTGAATTATATTTGTCCCACGCAACACCTCTGACTGTAGGATCGCCGGACCGGGCAAAGTCTGCGTACATGGTCATAATAAGCAAACTGACATTTCTGTCAGCGGGACTATAAAGAGATAAAAATTTCGGGAGCAAAGGAACTCCGAAATCAAAGGGAACATTTTCGCTATGGACCACGCCCATCCAATCAGCACCCATAATTGTTTTTGCCCGATGAGCAAACTCATACATGTAAACAGGAGCGACCTGACTGTGAACATCAGCGACTTTGTGACTAGGAGCAAAGTAAAGGTTATCACCAATAAGATCAACAAGTTGACTTCTTAATGCGTATTTATTACTGTTGTCAGGCCAAGGGGTGTACATGAACTCCAATGCATCTGTGATGAGATCAGCGCTTTTATCGCTGGAAAAAAAGAGAATACTTGTTTTTAATGAAATTATACTTGTATTTAATCGGCCATTTGAGGTTGCGTCTGAGACCTATTGACAGACACTACGTCTGGGCCGCCTGTGCTACAAGGTGGCTCTAACGACAGATTCCATAAGTTGTGACCAGTCTCATAAAATTCTGCTGAATTATCAGATAGTATACGTCATGGGGAGCATATGTGATAAGGGTCAGACGGCCCCACGAGCTCGCTGTAAAACTCCTACGTACAACGTGCTTAGAAAACGATCAAAAACCACGAGTTTGATCCGTTATAAGAGGGGCATCAATAACAATATAATGCAATGCAAGAGGTACCCCCCGCCTCTTAAGCTACGATCACGCTTGCAATACTTTAACATCTGGAATAACAAACTCTATGGCATTCTCAAACTCATATCTTTTCGGCTACTCCGTTTCTTTCTGACTTTCGTTTTTTTCTGACTATTCTTCGCCGCTTCGCGACTCTTCCTCCTTCACGCGAAGAAAAATCAAGAGAAACCTCTGGGACCAGGGTACTCTTCGTCCTTGTGATTGAAGAAGTCGGGGGATTAGGTAGATCTCCAAGTTTGTTAAGGGAAGGCCTCTATACAACTTACCTACTGGTTTGAGCACGAGCAAATTTGGATAGTGATGCTTTGAATAAAGTCGGATTCACTCCATTGTCCACGTTTTTTTTTTTTTTTTTACTTCCTATTGTAATTTCCCCTGAGTCTAATATAATACTGTAACAATGTGCCTGTAACGCTATAACGCTCTCTTCACAATATTGCGCATCAATAAACGAGATGCGCGCTCCTAACTCTATGTTTGGAATTATTTCAATTCGTGACAAAATATTTTATGATCGTTTCAGCGCAAGAGACTATAAAGGGGACAGAGAGGCCATCCCCCATATACACCCTATTCCATGGGTAATTCGTCTCGAGTTATTTTTAACACCACAGATCTCGAGGGGGATTTAACAACAGCCAATCACATAGCGCGAATGTGTTCCGCGTGGATGACCCACGCTGAGAGCCACGCGTCCTTCACGAAATGACGCAGAACAAAATGGGGGAAGACGCGTAGAGCGATTTTGCTATTCCTTTTGTCGACGAAAACGACTACAGCGAGATTTCTGCGAAAGCTGTGTCAGCGAAACCGAAATTAAAAAAGAATCGCCCTTCCTCTCTTGTATAGAGCTAACAGTAGAGCAGGGAAATCCTTAACACACTGAATATTCTCTCAGGATCATTTATAATTTACAGTTTGAAGAGAGCAATTTCTGGTTTGATGTTTATTTTTTTCAGTCTTTATAGCGATTATTCCTACCCACCTACTTTGTCAACTGTAGGCGAACCCTCCTAAAGCTGAATTTCAAGGGACCATATTCAAGCTCAGAAAGAGAAATAAAATTTCGTCGTTGCTTATTTACGTCCTCCATAAAACGCGAAATTAGGCATTTTCACGTCGTAGTCGTGCAAAAACGGGAAAGAAATGAACAAAAAAGTGTGTTGCACGTGCGAAGTTGTTTTTTTGCTAATTAAACCTATTGTTTTTTTGATGTTCTAGTTGTCGTCCGCGTCGTTGGATCTTAAACTCCCTAAATTGTACAAACGACCGGTTTCAATAGACCGGCGAAATTTCTCATTTTATTAAAGCACTGAGGTTACGACAACTTCGAGTTAAACTGATTTCACGGGTTGTCAAAGAGTCCAGCGATTCCTTTTTCCCAGGTGAGCGCCGACTCATTTCGCTTCAATATTCAGGGATGCTCTCGATCTTTTTACGCTTTCATTGCCTCTCGCCCGACATGTTTTGCACGGCGTTTGGTCATGCGAAACCTCCACGAAACATCCACGCCTCGCGCGAGGTAACTTTATCCCGATTCTAAAAATAACTCGAGACGAATTACCTATGGAATAGGGTGTATATGGGGGATGGCCTCTCTGTCCCCTTTATAGTCTCTTGTTTCAGCGTGGTTAGAGTATAATTGATTATTTTAAGAGCAAACGCGAAGGAGTGAATCTAACCCTCCCCAGAGTGAATGATACAGTCGAGTGTACAGTCGAATCTCCCGTAAGCGACCACCCAAACGCAAAGATCAAAAACACGTTTGGGTTTAAACACCTCTCTTACACTCAAGCAAGTATTTTGTGGGGACGACTCCTTCCTGAGTGAAGTTTACCTCAATAGAGGGAGTCTTGAGAAGTTGTAAAAAGTCTATAAATAGATGCCTATAACATGAATCCGAGCATGCAAAAAGCAGATAAGTTACTAACTGGTAATTCTTTCGAATGATTTATCAAAAAGTGGCTTTCGAAATGTTTTTTTTTCTGCGAAGGGGTTGACTGATCTCTTGTGAAGATTTTAAAGGAGCTGTTTCACAAAATGTATCAAAATTCAAACAGTGGGATGCGTCACCAAACATAAAAATAACTTCTCAAATCTTGAAAACAAACATGAAGAAGACTGAAACACTTGCAATTGTGGTTTTTAAAAACTTGTTAGCCTAAACGTTTTTCAAAGTTCAGTTTTCTCGTTTGCAACGTTTGGTATAATGTTTGTTTAACACAAAGCTGTAATTTTGTCATTCACAAGGAATTTTTTTATTATTATTCGCTACGCAACAATAGGAAATGAATTACAAATAATATAGGATAAGTAGGAAAAAGAAGTGGCGAAGAGACATAACGGAAACCATAGAAGCTTGTGAGAGGTTAGGCCTCCTCGAATTACAGGCTAGAGCTGTTTTCATCAATTGAAGAAAAGATGGCGAAAAGTTGAAGATGGAAAGATTTATGAACTGCTTTCGTATTTATAATTATAATTTAATCTTCAGTATTTTCTTAAAGGAGGAAAGGGATTGAAAGTTGATGACCTCGTTGTCAAGTGAATTATTAAACTTAGCGGGTCCTTGAAAAAAGGCGAGAACTTCTTAGTGTTTGTTCGACAATACGGTAGACGGTAGACCTGGGAATTTCTTGTACTGTAAGAGAGGAATTGATTGCTTTGGTAGAAATTACCAAGTTCTATAGCGAAAAAGGGCTCATAACTGACATTATAAACAAAATGAACTTACAGCTGTGACACCGGGCCCCTTAAAGACGCTTGTTAAAAGGAATCTCTCCCCGGCCGGCGCGTTTGATTTGACTCTTGTGTATAAAACGTGCAAAGTAACTGGCCTTTCGACAGTTTTTGAATTACTTTAATTAGTTTACTGCGTGATCGCCGATCGAGCGCGCGTCGGATTCGATGACTGCGCAATTTAAAGAACAATAGCAGGCTGACATGGGTCTAAATGACACAATTCATTAAGTGGGCAGATTAATTAGAAATAAAACTCATATGAATACAGTATATCACGAAAGATCATGCAATCAGCAAAATCACTGAACCACATCATCGATCGCCATCATTTTTACGCTGGCCGTTTTTTTTTTCAGAAGTCGTGCTTCTGAAGTATCGAGTTAACAGGATTATATACTCTACTTTGGCTCAACAGTTCATTCAAACGTCGAACTTAATTTAAAGGTGCTTGACCAGAAGGTCCATTATTCTTGACAGTGAGATATAACATATGATGGCAGCCATCAACAAAACCTGGATTTCTGAGATCGCATCAATCCGTGAAGTCTCTAAATGACATAAGTTTAGGGCTACGGTTACAGGGCTCGTGGTACCTCATAGCGAATAATAATAATAATAGATCCCAATGAACACATTTTAATTAAAATTTACTTGGCAAGCAAAGACAAGTTGAAGTGGGTTCGACCAAGGCTGTTTTGGAATCCCGGGGGGTGGGTACTGCCACATATGGGCTACATAGGTATGTGCGTCTGTAAAGGGTATGGTTTTCAAGCAGTTTACTCTAGGATAGGGTATATAAATCAGAGAGTTTGGGTCTAGAATAGGGTATCATTTTCCATGAAACAGATCAGTTGGTTGAAAATTTTAGTCTAGACTAGGAAAATCGGGAATTGCCTTCTAAAAATAAAAAAAATCAAATCGGCAAGTTTAAATTTACGCAACTCAGCCTAAAAGGTACTCTACGGTAGGAGGGATGTGGGGAGTTTAGTCTAGTATAGGGCAGCAAAATTCAGCTGGGGTTCAGGGTTCCAGAGTCCCTGCGGCACATCCCCACGATGACATAAGTTTACTCGGACCTACGGTTACAGGATTGGAACTCAAAGCGAATACAGTAGAACCCCGATAACTCGAACTCCCTGCTAAGCCGATCAAAAAGTTACTGAAATTTTCCCGATAACTCGAATTCTGGTTCTTTTACCACCCCATTAGCTCTTCTTGTTGTAAAGGGTCTGAAAACACTATAATTAACACTGGTCACTATTAAAGGCAATTTGATTTTAACTGGAGAAACGAACAGATCACGTTTTATCATAAAAGTTGCTAATCATGTTATCGTACCATTTCTGATGAAATAATTAAATTTGCCCTGCACCATACAATGAAGTACTGAGAAATCAGTAAACATCAATTTCTAACATGGCATATTTAATTTTTCAATCGACCCCGATAACTCGAACTTGCTAATTCGAACTGTTTTTCGTTTCCTTTCAGAGTTCGAGTTATCGGGGTTCTACTGTACTTAGAATACTTATATAGACACTTATATAGACACTTATATAGACCCATGACCTTTGTAGGGAGGTTCGACTCAGTACTTTATTCAGAGCAGCTAAAATTTCAATAGTAATTAAATGCTCGACCAAATACAATGAAGACTACTGCCAAAAATTGGGATTTAACGGAACCCAAAACAATTGTAGAATTGTACGAACTTTAGGCATCCTAGCGATGAATGCATGGTTATAATTGTAGGAGCAACAAACATTTTAAGTCTGTACCCTGTTAATTCACTAATCAGTATAATTATTAAATCCTCTATCTGCATAATTCCTCGTATCATTCTCAGCCTCATTCAATAACAGTTATGAACTTTTTAGCAAAAACTGAAATCGCCCTATTTCTTTACTGACTTTTTTTATGAGTTGATTCGGCTACATACATAATGCTCTACTTTCCGTCCTTTCCGCTCAAAAACATTAAAGAAAATGCTAGTCTTATCCACTTCTAATTAATAAACTTGAATGAATGAGTAAAAAACAAAGCAAGGTCTTAGTAACTCAAGTATAGTGTTAAAACAAATACAACTTGAAGAGCAGTTCCGATGGTAACAATATCCTTTGCACCGCTGACCACCTCTTTATTGACATAAAACTTCACCTGCTCCAATTTAGGATAGTAATTATTCCAAAAAGACATTCGGCGAGAATTAAATGACGTCTTCAGTTTGGGACTTGTGTCCACTTTAAGGTAAGCCCTGTGACTCGAGTTGTATTTCTCCCACGCGACACCGCTGACTGAAGGATCGCCGGACCGGGCAAAGTTTGCGTACATGGTCATGATAAACAGACTGACATTTCTGTCAGCCTGACTATAATGTGGCGAAAATTTGGGAAGGAAAGGAACTCCAAAATCAAAGGGAATGTTTTCGTCATGAACAACGCCCATCCACTCTGCACGTACCGCCAAACTTGACCTTGCCCGATGAGCAAATTCATACATGTAAACAGGAGCGACCTGACTGTGAACATCAGCGACTTTGTGACTGGGGCCAGCGAAAATTTTATCTCCAATAACATCAACAAGTCCACTTCTTAATGCGTATGTGTTACTGTTGTCAGGCCAAGGGGTGTACATGAACTCCAAGGCATCGGCGAGAAGATCAGCATTCTTCTTCCTAAAAAAAAGTGACGGATATTTAACAATTATTCCACAGACCAGAGCCGTGCCCAGTGTGAAGCAATCCGAGGAACTTGCCTCACTAGTTTTTTTTTTTAAGGGAAAAGTAAAACACTGCGCACAAATAAAACACAAGGAAATAAATCAATAAATGCAAAAAGGGAATAATGAGACACAGAGGGAAACACCTTGTCTAGCTCTTGGGATATGTGAATTTCACCAAAGTTATTTTGATACCGTAAACGCTTGAGTTAATCGGAGTATGGTATCCACAGAGAAACAGCAGTCGCTATACTCTCTCTTGATAAATGTTAATGCAACATGGTTGGTGGCATGTTATTACCCCGGGAGGTTACTTACCTAGGTTATATGACCTGTTCGGGGATGTGGTGCCGCTGGACAGGGTGTGGTTCTTGACCTTTGTGTCCTAAACAGGGTACATAATAACCTAGGACTGCGTATATTCCGGTAATGGTTACGTTGTAGAGGATCAGTGTACAGTGTAGTCTAGTTTTTTGGAGCGAAAATGTATACAAGAACACCCGGGAACAATAAGACTACATCGCCATATTACAACTTTATCCTTTATTCAACCTCCTCAATCACAGAGTGAATGATATGCTTCATTAAATAGTTTTTTTTAACTTTACAACGTCCCTTGTAGGTAACACCGCAGGCAATCACACTGGCACGTTCAAACCTCCTCCACGTTTGTGTCTGCCACGTGAAAGCAGCGATACAGTAAAACAACGGCACCCAACGACAATTTTCGGAAAATATCTGTTCGGAAGACGATTTGAGATCTACAATTTTCGGAACATTTGTTGTAAAATTTCTTGCTTGCCTGCCTCTCCTAGGATTTTCGAACACCTAAATAATGGTATAATTGCCTATTTTTAACGGATTTTTACCCTGAAAAGGTCACCTAGAATTTTCGGGAGCCTTTTTTCTGGCTGGAATTTTCGAAAAGGTAAGTTTTGATCCCTATAATTTTCGAAACTTTAGACTTTCAGCTAGGAAATCCGAACAGATGAAAAATTTTTAGGGGATAAAAATATGCCTATATCTACCGTTTAAATACTAAAATACGTTCAACAATGCTATGTTTAAGTTGACTTTCAGCTAGGAAATCCGAACAGATGAAAAATTTTTAGGGGATAAAAATATGCCTATATCTACCGTTTAAATACTAAAATACGTTCAACAATGCTATATGTTTAAGCGGTTTTGAACTATATTCTCGTTGGGTGCCCCTGAGAGTTTGCGGGGAGTTGGAGTTAACGGGGTTCTGCTGCGTTGAAACTACTGAGCAAATATTTAATTTTCACTGATCTTACCTAGTGTTTTCAACTTGTGCGAACTTAATAAGAAATGATTTGAACAAAGTCGGACTGACTCCATTGTCCACCCTCTCCATCAGCCCTAAAGAATTGTTGACGATGTCTCCGAGAAAAGTCGCCCCCTCCTTACTTGTGAAGGTGATGATAAGCGGCAATGGCTTGAATTCTCCTTTTTTCCTCAAAACCTGGGGTGTATCATGAAGAAAGTTTTTATCTACGACTGGTGCCCAGTCAACGAAACCAAATTTGATTGACTCTGCGGCTCTTTGCATGTCTGACGCTGTTTTGCTGCGCATACAAGAAACCATTGCAGAATGGTCACTGGAACCACAATTCAGTTTTTGTGCAAGCTTTTTAGTGAAACGGAAGCCGAAAGACGTTGGCTGAATCGCAATGGGACTTAAATCTACACCGCTCTCTAGGATGGCTGTATGAAAGAGATCACGTGATAGAGGCGATAGAAGATGGAGCCCCACGCTGAATCCGCCAGCGCTCTGTCCAAATATGCTCACTTTGCTGGGATTCCCGCCAAAATTCTGAATGTTTTCTGTGACCCACCTCAGTGCTTCCACTTGATCCAACATTCCATAGTTACCAGGTGCCGCCGAATCACCCGTCGTCAGGAAACCAAAGGGACCTAGACGATACTGGATAATGACCACCACCACCCCCTGGAGAGCCAGGATATCGCTTGGAAAAGTGATTGCTGATCCTAGAAGGTAAAATCCACCGTGAATGTAAACCATCACTGGCAAACTGAGGCTGATATTTGGGCTGTAGATATCAAGATATAAGCAATCCTCGCTGAAAGTGAAATTTGAAGTGAAAGGCTCGATTGAGTTTTCGAAAAGTTTGGCGGGCTGTAAGCAGACGCTCCCATGGGTTTTAGCCGAATAAACCTTTGGTTTCCATCCTTTTGGCGGTTGTGGGGCTTTAAACCTTAGCTCTCCAGTTGGTGGAGAGGCGAAAGGAACGCCAAGAAATTTGCTGACGGATTTGAAAGGACCAGAGGCATTCGGATACGAAGTGACGAGACCCTCGATATCTCCATACTTCGTTGACACTATTTCTGCTCGAACATGAAGCCAACATGCACAAAAGATAAAAAACGTTGCTAGCAGCATCTTTGAACACTTCTTCTTGTGGAGCTGTTTCTTTCACTAATATGAAACAACGACTGAGCTTGACTTGTTGACAATAGCCAATGAAGGTTTTAAGTTTTAAGTTACCTTTCAACTCGCAGCGAGTCTTTTTATGGAATTTTTCTAAAATCCTGGACGTCAATCAAACTTGATACATGTCCATGTGATGGTGAAAGAGTGCTGATATTTTACAGGAACACAATTTGAGTACCCCTCATTTTCCTTATTGGCGTTTTACTGACTATCTAATCTAGCTGATAAAAATATATTTCTAAAAAGGTTACAAGAAAATTTATTACAAACTATGAAAAAAATCTGGATCAGCTCACGCATCTTCACTCTGAATGATCGATCTGGGCCCAACACATACAACTCAAATTGTCTTTAGTATTACTGCATGAGCGAGAGCACGTTGGATTCGCTGACTGTACATTTTAAAGAACAAAAGGAAATTGGTATTGTTCATGGCTCTCTGCGTTTTTTTAAGGATATTATTCAGTGAGCTGGCGGTTTTAATACTGACAAACAAAGGTCTTTTAAAAAGTATATCATGACACATCATGGAATTAATATTAGGAAAATTCCAAGAAACGGAACTAATATCGTCCGATATATCGACTTTAGTGACGGAAGTGGGTCTTTAGGGTCCTTAAATACGTGTATAGCATGGATAAAAATGTTACGAAATTCACGTCTTGTTATCACACTCTTTCAATCTCAATGAATTGAGGAATTTTCCTACTTTTAATCATATCGAATGGCAACTGCGAAAGTCGTCAGTACACAAAACAATATATTTTTTTCTCACGAAAGACCACATTTTTTGCTACAGAAACTGGTATTGTTCATTTGCTGCCGGTTTATTGGGGTTGGCAGTTTTAACAACACATATGAGTTTTATGCACATATCATAAACAGATCATGCAATTGATAAAAGCAAAATGGCTGAAATGAACATTAGAATGTGTCATTGGTTTGAGTATTCAGGAAAATATCTGTTATCCAGACCACCAGATAAACGCAGTTTGTTTTTCCACACACCAACCCACCGAAGAGAAATCTATCCGCGGATAGCGCTATTCAACTTAAAAAAACTGGGGCCAACATCCGGGGAGGAGTACTTTCTTGGGCCTATACGGGTGAGCCGCTGAAAGCATGGTTTTCAGGGTCTTGAGTTCTTAACAGGGAAAACAATTTCGCCATTTAGCGACTTCAACAGGGTGTCTTATTGGATTAGAATTCTTTAAAAGAGTGTGAAGGTTAGTGATAAGCGGCCTTCAAAACTCTTTTGATAGCTGATAAAAGGGAACAAGGACAAAAATAAATAAAATACAAATAAGTTTATTTTGATCTTAATCAGGGTAAATAAATTGCTACACTTAAAAATTATTCTTTGAAATCGAGGTGAATAGTTGCTATTATTTACCGAGCTGCGAAGCGGTGAGGTAAATATTCCTAAAGTCACTATTCAGCGAGAAAAGAAAAATTGTTTTAGTACATACACACGAAGTGATCTCTTTCAAAAATAGAGAGGAAACCATTCAAAAGTACGATTTCATTGACGGATCAAATCACGCGGAATTTTAAAAATGATCTTTGCAGAATTTTCAAACATGGCAATTCACAAGTTTATCACTTCGCAAACAACAGCGTAATGGCTTAAACGGAACCGTTAAAAGTTTGAATTGTTTCCTTACCCGAGAAGAAAAGTAGAGCTTTGTTGTTTTCTGTTGACTCGCCAAGTTTATAGCCAAAAGGGTTTGTTGTGTCGTTCTTCGCATGAAGTGCTGATAAAAATGGCGGCTCGGTTGCTCGGGGAGGTAAGACGTCGTCTTCCTGTACCATTCTTTTTCCTATTTGCTTGAAACGTAGAATCTTTGCAAACATTTGCTTTCAGATTTGTTTGTCATAAATAAACTTCGATAAATGCCTTCTTCTACGCGAATAAACGGGAGTTGTAAACAATTCATCGAGCACAAACCTCAGCTACAGTTAATGGAAAAACGACGTTTTGAATCCTTTCAAGTCTTTTCTTGCCTTAAAAAAAGTCAACCCTAGGATTTTGTCGACTTTTAAAAGATCGTTCTCTGAAAACCGGGAAGGCAAAAATAACAATTAGAATTAATTAAACAGGCGACCGTTATAGGAAGGGATGAAATAAACCTCTTTATTATATCGAGCCGAATTTTTGAAAACATACCTCAAAACGGGCCAGAATATCCGAACAGGAACCTGGCGATTTATTCTGCGGTTAGAATAAACATAGGGGGCTTGCCGTCGTGGTTGGTCTCATTCTCAAGCTCAGTCCTTGAGCTAACTTGGCATGGGTTGGGAAGAAGCCTCCACGTCAATCCCTAGGGGGGTGCTGCAAAAGCATGGTACTGCCTGATAGTCTTGCTGTGGTAGAGTCAGTGCACTCGTCATGTCTGCCTTAAGTTCTTGTAATGTTTGAGGCCCATTTGCCAATGAAAGCATTCCCCTCAAGTACCTGCTAGCCTGGGGTGGGGGAAAAAGTCAGCGGGAGTGATGTGGCCTTGAATTCTCTGCCTAGAACTTGCTTAAGTCTCAAGCATCCTCTGTCATTTAGAGCCTTCAAGCAGCTAAAGTGTATGGCCAAGTCCAGAGTGTCTATTTGATGGACTTTGAATGTTTCTTCGCTAATCAGGAACCAAGAAGAGAGTCACCTTAAGAGAACCATGGGTAAGAGCTGAGTTTCTTGCAAATATTTACTTTAGTTGAGTCGGTTTAAGGTGTGTGGCCTCGAGGAGCCAGCCAGTGCGGTTTTCATAAATCCGGCTAGATATACACACTGAGAAATACTCACCAAAAAGCTATGTCGTAAATTTTCATACGCAAATTAGTTCAAGCCAATGAAAGGAGCGAACGATGGTTTTCACACGTGAAAAAAAATGATACGTCCAATAAGAATTGCGAACGATGTTTTTTCAAATGATCTTTTCTCTCGCTTTGCTGTCTCTAAGGAAAACGAGGGAATACTCGAGTCTATGAACAGAAAACGTGGAGGTTGTAAACCCGTGACCTTTGTAGAGAGGTTTGACCGTACTTTATTCAGAGCAGTGTGTCCACTTTAAGGTAAGCCCTGTGACTCGAGTTGTATTTCTCCCACGCGACACCGCTGACTGAAGGATCGCCGGACCGGGCAAAGTTTGCGTACATGGTCATGATAAACAGACTGACATTTCTGTCAGCGGGACTATAATGTGGCGAAAATTTGGGAAGGAAAGGAACTCCAAAATCAAAGGGAATGTTTTCGTCATGAACAACGCCCATCCACTCTGCACGTACCCCCAAACTTGACCTTGCCCGATGAGCAAATTCATACATGTAAACAGGAGCGACCTGACTGTGAACATCAGAGACCTTGTGACTGGGGGCAGCGAAAATTTTATCTCCAATAACATCAACAAGTCCACTTCTTAATGCGTATGTGTTACTGTTGTCAGGCCAAGGGGTGTACATGAACTCTAAGGCATCGGCGAGAAGATCAGCATTCTTCTTCCTAAAAAAAAGTGACGGATATTTAACAATTATTCCACAGACCAGAGCCGTGTCCAGTGTGAAGCAATCCGAGGAACTTGCCTCACTAGTTTTTTTTTTAAGGGAAAAGTAAAACACTGCGCACAAATAAAACACAAGGAAATAAATCAATAAATGCAAAAAGGGAATAATGAGACACAGAGGGAAACACCTTGTCTAGCCCTTGGGATATGTGAATTTCACCAAAGTTATTTTGATACCGTAAACGCTTGAGTTAATCGGAGGATGGTATCCACAGAGAAACAGCAGTCGCTATTACTCTCTCTTGATAAATGTTAATGCAACATGGTTGGTGGCATGTTATTACCCCGGGAGGTTACTTGCCTAGGTTATATGACCTGTACGGGGATGTGGTGCCGCTGGACAGGGTGTGGTTCTTGGCCTTTGTGTCCTAAACAGGGTACATAATAACCTAGGACTGCGTATATTCCGGTAATGGTTACGTCGTAGAGGATCAGTGTACAGTGTATTCTAGTTTTTGGAGCGAAAATGTATACAAGAACACCCGGGAACAATAAGACTACATCGCCATATTACAACTTTATCCTTTATTCAACCTCCTCAATCACAGAGTGAATGATATGCTTCATTAAATAGTTTTT